TTGATCAAATCTTAGGGTTTTGTTAAAAGAAAAACCCTTCCTCCCACAAAGAAAATCTCACCAAAATCCAACCAACCAAACCACTCTCAAAGCAAAACCAAGACACCCACCAGAACCACATGTAGTGTGATAGAGAATTGCAGTGTTATAATTGGTCTCAAATTATGGAATTTGTTTGGCTCTTAAATTCTGAAAATGTCTTACCCATTTTGGTGTGATGAATGGGGTGTTAGAGAAAAGAACACACTGAATAATTTTCCAGTGTAATATGTCAATTTTCAGAAGTATACGTAATAACTATTTAATATCTCTAGGAAATCACCGGTACTCAGTCTATGTGCTGGTTTTTTTTAGGTGGAGGTAAAATCTGGAGAAGAAGATGAAGAAATTCTCTTCAAGGAGAGGGCAAAACTTTATAGATGGGACAGGGATGTTACTCAGTGGAAGGAGCGTGGTGTTGGAGAGATCAAAATACTCTTCCATACACAGAAGAAATACTACAGAGTCCTAATGAGAAGAGACCAAGTTCTTAAAGTCTGTGCAAACCATGTTATCACCAAAGAAATGAACTTAGTGCCCTCTGATACATCAAACAATGCTTTCATTTGGACAGCCACAGATTATGCTGGTGAGTTTTTTCAGGTGGTCTTTGTTTTTTCTAAGTGGTCTGTAATTTCTGTGTTTTGTTTTTCCCTGGAGATTATTACAAGATGAAACTAAACAGACCTTCTTGGATTTCTTTTCAGATGGTGAAGTAAAAGTAGAGCAATTTGCAGTCAGATTTAAAAGCCAAGAAATGGCCAATTCTTTCAAGAAGATGTTTGAGGAGTGCCAGCGAAGCTTGTCAGAACTGCAGAAGGGGCACTTGTCTCTGGCAGCAGGACTGTCAAAGGACACCAACCCTGTTGTGTATTTTGAAGTTTCTGCTGATGATGAACCTTTAGGACACATAACCATGGAGCTGTTTGCAAATATTGTACCTCGAACCGCTGAAAACTTCAGAGCCCTTTGCACAGGAGAGAAAGGATTTGGATTCAAGAACTCCCGCTTTCACAGAATAGTCACAGACTTTGTGTGTCAGGTAAGCATAAAAGGAAGACTTTTCACTGAGAGAATGAGATACATCGTGACTAACAATGACACTTCAAAAAATGACTTGCACAGTATAGCACGTTCTTGTTGGCAGCATGGATTCACTGTGCAGGATAGTCTCATCTGTCCTTCCCCTGTAAGGAGATGAGAAATGGTGCAAGCAGCACATGCTACCCTAAGATGCTTTTAACCTATGCCTGCCAATGGCCTCATGCCTCAGTGTTTCCTAGTACTATCATATCAGGGTGGAAATAAAAAAATGGAGGGAGGGAGGTGGAGTCCTCTTACAATAGACAAGAGGCCTGTTGCTGAACAGGGACACCAAGGAAAGTAGGTGTTCCCAAAACGACCATTCATCCTTCTCTCTCTCCAGAGAAGAACTTCTGTATGCTCACCTGTTAAGAACATTTAGTTTCCAGGCTTCTCTTGGACTTTAAAGTACACTTTGTATTTCAGACAACTTTAAAACTGATATTCCAAGTATCATAGATGTTAAGTTTCAGTCTAAAACAAACAAGTCTTCTAGATCCGGTTATCATGCAGTGGCCTGTTTCCTAAAATACCAAGTTTTGTGCTGGGAGCAGCAGCATGCAGTACACCTGTAACCCCAGGTAGACAGTGTTGGTTTTAAATCTCTACATTCATTCAGTAGTACTGGCAAGTTCTCCATAAATGCTGAAGGCTTAGGAGATTGATCATAGCTCAGATAGACCTTTCTTAAAATTGTAATCAATACTTCATTGAGTTTTAGTAACTTGGAACAGGCAGAATGAACCAACATCAGTATTATGCTTTGCTAATGATCTGCAAGTCACTACATCCCCAAAGATGAGGCATGTAGATGACTTTCTACAGATGTATACAGAAGCCCAAATGTATACAGTAATACAGGAAAATAATATACAAAATAATAGGAAGGACATCAGCCTTTGGAGTAAATCCAGAGGAGATCCAAGACTTTTAAGAGGGATGGAGCACTGGGTCTAAGAGGAAAGGCTAAAAGATTTGAATTTGTTCGGCCTGGAAAAGAGAAATCTTAGGAGTGATGCAATGGTGTCATTCCAGAGCCTGGAGGGAAGCCTACAAGAAAGATGGAGGGAAACACTTTTCAAGAGCATGTAGTCACAGAACATGGGGGGAATGGCTTCTAGGTAAAAGAAAGTAGGTTTAGGCTAGACGTTAGGAGAAAGTTGTTTGCTGTGAGGCTGGTGACACACTGGAACAAGTTGCCCAGACAAGTTGTAGAAGCCCTATCCCTGTCAGCGTTCTAGACCAGGCTGGATGGAGCTCTGAGCAGCCTGGTCCTAGTTCTAGGTGTCCCTGCCCATGGCAGAGTAGTTGGAACTAGAGGATCTTAAAGGTCCTTTCCAACATAAACTATTCTGTGGTAGTATGTGAATAACTTGTCACCAGAATAAAATATTAGCCTGTCTTTTGATTTGTTCTTCTACATGTGGCTGAAGTATGCACTTCATGGCTCTTCTGTTAAACCTTTGTGCCTTTTTGATAAACTCATATAGGATTTAAGCTTATTTCAGGGTATTCCACATTGTATAAAAGAGCAGACTTTCTTTTAAAACAGTTAACTGCACCATGTGTGCCTTGACAAAGTGAGCTGTTATCACATTAAGTGAGTGATATTTTAAGTTTGCTCTGCTTTGCGTGAACTTTCTTCTGAGGTGTGGTGAGAAGCTCTTCAGTGAGAACTAAGGCTGTACCAGATAAATTTACACAATCATCTTTATACTCAAATTAGCAGGAACCAGAAGTTTGCTACCCTCCAGAAAGATAAGACACTTACCATGCTGCTCAACCAGTTATGTGGCAAAGCTGTATGGAATTACTGGTCACTGCTACGTTAACCTTTTTCAAATTAAATCTGTGCCTGCAGGGGCTAAGCAAGGACAGGCCTTCAATGAGATAATGCAGGTCCAGGCAGCTTCCAGGGCCAAGTGATGCAGGCAGTAGGAAAGGGAGGCCTAGAGGAATGTCACCATGGGGAACAGGAAAATAAAATTCTGTGTTTGGAATAAACAAGGATAAACCTCCTTCTACTGCTTGCCTTACCATGAACGAACCTGCTGAAGCTGGGAAACCCTACATCTAAGCAGATACTAATACTTGTGAAAATGAAAAATTAGTTCTTCGAAAACAAAGTCTTTACTGTTGAAAGGAAATATAATTTTTGGGTTATGGTTTGGGACTTGTTAGTTAATGCTGCATCTGTTTTGTTTGTTTGTTTTTTAGGGAGGAGATATAACTAACCATGATGGTACAGGTGGACGGTCAATTTATGGAACAGCATTTGAAGATGAGAATTTCATAGTGAAACACACTGGTCCTGGATTATTGTCAATGGCAAATAAGGGCAGGGATACAAATAATTCTCAGTTCTTCATAACACTTAAAAAAGCAGAACACTTGGACTTCAAGCATGTGGTATTTGGGTTTGTGAAAGATGGAATGGATGTTGTGAAAAAGATCGAATCCTTCGGTTCTCCTAAAGGGCTAGTAAATGGAAGAATTGTCATTACAGACTGTGGGCAAATATAGAATTATTTCTTTTGAGTATACAAATGTTTTAGCAGTATAAATCAGTACTTAGATGTTATTGACTAATTATTTCAACTTCTTAAAATGGACACTTCTGATGTATAAATGTAAAATTACAGGTTATAGTTGAATTTTTTTATGTGTTAATTGATTTTTTTGCATGGTAAATAAAGTTCAGGCACTGGCATATTTCAGGTGTATTTGTGTTATCCTGACATATTTGTATTAAGTGTCAAATTTTAAAAATTAAATCCTAGTCTTGTTAAAATAAATGTCTTTTCTTCACTTTGGTTTGTTTAAAAGAAAGTAACTTGCATAACTTGGTTCTTGCTCTCATGAAGGTCTTTTGAATGTGAAGACTGTAGATGCAAATTGCTGGACAGTACATTGCAGCCATTTGAAAGTTAATGGGTATTCCAGGTTGAGCCTGGATGTTGGTTTGTTCTGTCTGCATAGTTTTTAAATGATTGATCAATGTTTTGCTAGAGCAGTATGCCGACTTTTTTTTGGTACTTCAACTTTTTCCAAAAAACGTGGCTTAATGAAGAACATCTACTTCACACTGGGATTTTACCTGACATACTTTAAGTATAACCCTCTGACTCCGCTCAGTGTTTATTCGCTGTGGCAAACTTCTGACCTTGCTGCAGGCTCTGGCTTGTGTATTCTAGCGTGCTTGTACCTTTTACAACTTTGCCTCTCAAGAGTGAGCATGCATGTGTAAATGTGGGGTTTATTTAAACTGATACTCTATAGCTCTGCACTGGCAACATGCATTTAGCCTTGCTTTATTTGGGAGGTTATGTATTTATTTTTAAAGGATGGCAGTCTTCAGCCCTTACCGCTCTCTACAACCACTCAAAGGAGCCTGGAGCTAGGGCTGGTTCAGCTTCTTCTCCCAGGCAGCCGGAGGACATGGACTTAGACTGTGCGAGGCCAGGTTTAGGTAGGACAGAAGGAGCCGTTTCTTCCCAGAAAGGCTGACTGGGCAGTGGCACGGCTTGCTGAGGGCCGTGTTAGAATCACCGTCGCTGGCGGTGTTTAAGGAGGTGGCATCGAGCGGTCCAGTTGCCTGGGCGGTGTTAGGGCGACGCTGCCAGGCCCCGCTGTGCCGCGGGGGCGGAGGATCGCTGGTTGTTGTTATTGATGATGATGTTGATGTGTGCCTGATGTGTGCCCGCCCCGCCGAGCCCAGAGCGGCGGCGGCTCCCCCTGCCCTGCCGCGGCCCCGAGTGCGCCTGCGCGGCCCGTGGCGGTTGGTTCGAGCGCGGCGGTGCCGCCATGGCGGGCCCGGGGCCCGGCCTCGGCCGCGGGCGCTCCGCCCCGGGGCTACAGCCGTGCTGCCCGCGGGGACCGGCGGGGGTGAGACGGGGCTGGGGCGAGCGGCCTGCGGGGAGGGGGAGGCACAGAAAAGCTTTTTCATCCTCAACGTGTCCCTGAAGTGCTCGGAGGAGATGGAGGATGGGGGGGGAACTGTCCGCTCCCTCGGGGCTCATTGTGAGCGCAGTGCTGTTGCGCACCCGGGCAGTGCCAGACAAATGCGGAGTTTAAATAGACTTGAGGAGGTTACGTGCTCTTGCTACTCCTGTACCTGACCCTGCGCTCCTACTGCCTTTAGAGTTGAAGTGCTGAAGAGTCATCCTTGTCTGAGCAGGAAGTTTCCCTGGAAATTGCAATTCCAGATTCTGTGCGGTATCGAGACACAAGTTTAGCTTGCACTTTTTGCCTAAGACCTGGTGCCTGCCAGTTGAGTGAGAAAATATGTGAATCCTCTTTAGGAGAATGTTAAGCTTGTATGAAGTATATATAATAGGATAACTAATTTTTCTTGCCTTTTTTGCCACAGTAATTGACAGCCTCACTTAAAGTGCATTAGGTGTGTTTGTAATTTTTTTTTGGTAAAGCTTAGTGATTAGCTCTGTAACAGTCAGAGAATAGGAAATTGTTCCATATCTAGTCAGTCAGGAATCAAACCCATGGTTCATTAGAGACTACTGCAGTGACCAGACAGTTAAATTAGGATGGGTATCATTCCTTTGCCAAGGTATGGCAATGTTATTTTACACTGGAGAAGGTCAGGTTCTTTGCACTCAGATGAATGAATGAATTGTATTGTGGTTCCTCTCTTTATCAAGGAGAGTCAAAGTCTTTTCTAAGTTGTGCTGACAAGTCAAAACTGATCTGCCTAAAAATTCGGCAGCAAAGACCCTTCCCCCATGCTGGTGTTTCAAAAGCCTTTGATACTTAGGAGGAGTACTGGCTGGCCAGGTGCCTTTATTTTGGCTGAACTCTGATTGTCTTTCAGTGAAACAAATTTTTGCTGTTGTTTTCATGCATTTGTATTCATTGGGTCAAATGCTTCCAGTGTCTCCGGGGCATCACAGGCATTAAATGCTCAAACTCATGCTGTAGGGGAAGTCATATGGTGGAAGAATACCCATGAGCAACCAAAGACTGGGAGAGATTGAAAGTGGGTTTGAGTTAGGTACATAGTTGGATTGGGATACTGAGTTAGTCCTGGGAGTCATCAAATCAACACGAAACGCAGCCTTTTCTTAGGAAAAGTAGCTTTGCATTTTAGGATCAGGAACCATCCCAAATGTGATGTGAAGATTTTAAGTTTTTAGCAACTAAAGTCACGCTGTGTGTGCCTTTAGCTCCTGCAGAAGGATTTGCAACTTGAATAGCATTTGATGGTGTTCTAGATTCTATGGGGAATTTTTCTTGGCGAATATTCTGCTTTGAAGTACAGAACTGTACTTTAAACAGAAGTAATTTTAAAAAACTCACTTTTAAAATACTGTTACTGAGACTTTAATGCTTTCAAGGAAGAAAATGTTGCATGTGTTTGTGTGCTTTCTTATTTCATTAAGAAGTGGTTATTCAATGGCAGGAAAATACAGCAGTTAATCATTTGGTCTAGAGTATAGTAGAGAGATGCAGTGAAACAAGTAAGTTCATGGGAGCTGCCTTCAGTCCAATATTTTATAATGTGCATTCATTTGATTTTGCTTGTAGCCTAAAATTTCTGTCATTCACTTTTTTTAGTACGTACTTATAAATTAGTAAGAAAAAAATAGAGCACGAAACTGGCATAGAAAGCCTAGATATGAAGGTAGATGGCACTGTTTCCATGATTACCTAGTTCTACTTTTATGCCTTTATTTTATGTTACTTGTCTTCATAGTGTTTTATAGTTTCTCAAATATTCTAACACATAACACCAGAAGTATTGTTATTAGACTGTAGAGAATATATTTGCTTCTTTATGTTAATATGAAGACCATTTACATTTATGTATTAAAAAAAAAACCACCCCCCTTTTCGAAGTTTGTAGTGAGAATTGTCACGAGGTGTGACCATTTAACTATTAAATCAGTAAGTTGTAACATACTTTTTCCATGAAAATTCTGACTAGAATGCAGTGGTTTTGTGCTTTCTTTTAGGATTGCCTCTCAGGAACATTGCATACCAAGTGTAAAAGCAGAAGCTCTCTAGTTTACAAAGGTAATACAAAGCAATGGTGCTTTGGTATCTTTTACAGGGAAAACATATACTATAGCTGAATTGTTCCTAAATTTATTTAGTTTTGTACTTTCTCATTTTAAATAGATAGGTACTCTTGATCGGGGGTTGTGATACCTGGGAGTCAGCCTGGGAATGTTAACAAGTAAAGAGTGCAAACGATGTTTTGGAGCAATGGTTCACAGCCTGTTTTTCTTTAAGTCCTGCTTGAATTAGTTGGTAGCAGTCCACTTTCTAATGCATGTATTTAGCTTTAATTTAAAGATACATAAATGTTTAATATTTAGATCACTTTTGGTCTCTTTCAGAAACTGGTGCATAGGGACAGCAGGCTAAATCAATGTATTTGTCAGACTTCAGTTACAGAAAAATTTCTATAGGCAGACAAGCTCTAAAATTTCAGAAAGACAAATCTGATGTGAAAGCTAAATAATTCTTCCTATGGCTTAAGCTGTTACAATTAAGTTCATAATTCATCACGCTGCATCAATAGTAGTTTTGATTCTTAAACTTACACGACTACCTGGTAAGTACATCTAGTAAGTCCTTATTGATTTCTAAATTTCAGCTTCTCAAATGTGAAATAAAATTGTTGTGATTTTATGTATTTCAGGTGACACTGACAGCTCACTGAAAAATATAACTATTTCTTTATCAAATTGTTCTTTAGAGTCAGAATTTACAGAAACTGGAAGAGAGAAGAACATCAAATCTAATGATTTCCGAAAAAGTTTGAAAAATTTGGATTGGTAGGAGGTGTTTTTATTTCTCCTTTATTATTTGTTTTCTCTCATAAAAGTGCAAATAAAACAGATGTATTTGGACTGTGCAAAAGTTGTTTTAAGTTGCTTGTTTTCTTGTTAAGTAAAGAATTGTTTATAGCTAATTTATGCAATAATGAGGATGCTGATTTTGATGAGGAATATTGTTTCCCTTTCTAATCTAATCCGTGTATGTTGGAATTGCTAAGGGGATACAGGAATGACATAAACTTAACTAGGTGATAAAAAAAATTAACTAGTAGAAAAGCTAATAGCCCAGATTGATAAACAAATTTATGTTTATTTAGAGATAATTCAATTCCAAGTGCAAAGAAGTCTCTTTTAAGGGATATTTCATACCAAACAGGAAAAATATAATTTAAAAAGGAGGGGTTATATTTTCAGTTCTCCAGGAATTTGGTGGTTTGTGGTGAGAGAAGTGTTGGTTTTACATGTGCTTACAGCATGAAAACTCTAGTTAGTGTAACAACTCTAAAGTCAGCAACATGGAATTTCTGTGGTTGAGATTTGTGAGTAATAATGCCTTTCATCCAAATTGTTTAACTCTGCTAGTTGTTATCAGTAAAATATCAAAGACTTATAGCTCTTTTGTACTTTTAGTTTTGATGATGAGCAAGATTATTTTTGTGGTTCAAGTCGTGTAGAAGTAGAAGAAAACAGCATTATTTGCTCTGAAACTGATGCAATTCAAAATACAGCTATATACATGGGAACAGGTAATAAAGATTTAATTTTATACATTCTTACAACTCTGTGAAGTGTAGCATGTAACTTTAAAAACTTCCTAGTAAATGTATTTCTGTTTGATTCAGAAATACACTAGTCACCTAAAATGCATTTTAATGTGAGGATTTTATCTTTCACATGAGTACTTTGTTTAGAATTATTTTAGGAGGTTCAGACATACTTGAAGCAATACTAATGTTATTTTCTCATGTGGCGTCCAGTAGATTCTTAAGTCTTGTCCTGTTTACTTAGATGCCACCCTAAGGTCTAATCAGCAGCAAATCACTTGCCTGAAGCCCTTACAAAAATAATAGCAGATTTTGGAGACATGATTAAGTCTTTGCATAGATTTCATGCAGATATCTCTGAAATTTCTATATTGTGGTGAAGGGCATAGTTTTACTTATAAAACTGTTGATTCTTGATCAGTTTGAATAAATCATGAAACAAGAACTTGGATCAAATCTCTGTAATTCTTTAGATTACTTTCACGTTTTGATACATCTTGCTTTATACTTGTAATTCTGAATTCCTAGAGTACGTTTTTACTGGTTTTGTACAACAATCATATCAATATTTAGCTAGGACTGATTTTTTTAATGTAAAACGCGTTTTTTTCCATGTCCACAGGCCTCACTTTACCATCTCATTTGGCTGCAAATACTCAAGAAAATAGGGACCAAATTATCAACCATGATTTGTTAAAGAGAATTGTGCATGGAACTGGTGCTCAGGCCTGCAATAGGCAAGGTTTAATACCACCTCAAGTTAGTCAAATTTATGATGAATTATTTATCATACATCAGAAGCTGCAGGTAGGAATTAGAATCAGCTTAAAATTTTTGTTGAATATTGCTATGAAGATTCTCATTTTGAGAAAGAAATCTGACATTACTTATGTAGTAAAACTTATATATTAAAAATTATTTTTTGCTATTACTTTACACTAATCTCAGTTACTTATATACTAAATTTGTATCTTCATCTGCCTCTTCCCCTGGGTTAATTCAGTGATTCAGTAATGATGCTTTGACTTGAATTTTGGGTAGACCAGGTAGATGGGTAGGTGGGCACATTCAGCTTGAGGTATTGGAACATAGTATTTCTACATCCAAGACTGTCTTGTGACGCTGTTTATGTAGAGGGAATCACTGACAACCATTCCTTCTCTTGGGAACATCTGAAATTGTTCTCCTGACTCTAGGCATTCCAAAGCACTTGCCTTGATGGCCTCCTCCAAAATCCCTCTATTCATCCCACCAGTTCATCCCCAACAGATTTAGGCTACTAATAGAAGAACCTCCTATATGGTTTTACTCCGTAATAGTTCCTAAGCTTCTGCTGGATTCCCTGCTTAATTGTCTTTTACAACATATGAGATAAAAATAATTTTGTATCTTTTTTTCTTCACCACTTTCTCAGGGATGCATCTCACTAGTTGAAGAAACAATATCATCAATCTAGTGTTCAACACAGTCACATCAGACTCTTCTGTCTTACAGTTAATACCATTAGCCAAACATTTTGGAAGCAAAAGCCGAAGTTTAATTTTCTAGAGCAACAATGTAGAGTTGAATTTTGGGGGGCTGAGCTATTCCAATGCATTTTTGGGTTAATGTGGGAGGAAACTGAACCGAGGTGATGGTCAGGATACTTTGTATTAGTAAGCTCTTTTGTAACTATAATTTCACAAAGAGCTAAATATATCTCTGGGACAAAATTTTAAATTCAACATTATTTGGGAAAACTTCACATAAGATTTTAAAATAGTTTAGCTTTATTTTTCTTGATACAGAGAGAAAGTTCAGCACAGCAGGAGTATGCTCTACAACTGCAGAAACGAGAGCGTTGTCTAACAGAACAAGAGGCATTGTTTTTTCAACATGAAGGAGCTTTGGCTAAAATAAGAGGTGTTGAGGAAGAAGTTCACACAAAAATTGCAGCTATAAAGGAGGTGAAATAGTATATTTAATGATAGCTATTGCTCTGTATGCCCTCTAACTCATTTGTAGTTATCTTAAGCCATCACATGTTTGCTGGAAATTCTGCTTATTTCTTTGAAGTCCTTGAAATCCCCAAAGGAAAGATTCAAATAAAAAGTACTGAACAATATTGCTAGAGTTTTTGTATGACTTCTGTTTGAGAATGGTGCATTTACTTGTCTGATGTGTACTACATTTTACAGTGACAAGTTAGACAAAAGTTCTTTTTTTGTAAAATAGTGACAGCTATGTGACCAATATTAGAGAAGAAAATGTGGTCTATCTGTAATTGTGTGTAAGTTAAATGAGTATCTTTGCATTCGGTGTAGTTGCAGTGGATTTCCTTGGGAATGCTTTAAGACGCATTGAGATCTTAGGACATAACAGCTGTTGCAGAAAGTACTAGCAAACAAAGACTCAAAAAGTTTGGAGGAAGACCAACATAACTTTAGGAGTGTGGAAAGAAAGAGTAGTGAAAAAGAGTGAATTCGTGGAAGGGGAGAAGGGAAAGCTGGAATATTTTCTGTAAAATAAAACCTTGCTATTTTACCAAATCTGAGATACTTAAATCTAAGGTCCAGAGAAGATTAAATATAAAACAAATTTCGGGGGAAGGGTGAACAGTAGTGGACATGCACGTTGTATTTAATAATTCATATGCTTGTGTTGTAAACTGGAGCCCCAGTCTCTGCAAGGCATAGGATTTGTTTCTCACTCTGTGTGATTCAGAAAGCCAGAAACATGAGTTGAAACCTCAAAACATAGTCACAACATTTTGTAAATATTTGGAAGAGTAAGCTGTAAGTAAAAGCTTTGTCATTGATATTAGTTCACCAGCACATCCCACATCTCAATTGTTTGAGGAGTAAATATATACATTATATATGTGTACACTTGGTCTGGGTAGATTGGCAGCAATAGGAGTATAGGCTGTGCATGTTGCTCTCAGTTTCTGTATAGATCCTTCCTAATAGGCAGTACAGGTCTTACTTTTCTCACCGTTGACTGAACATGCAAATTTGGACATGAAGAACTTCATATTAGAAAGTTTGTCTGACTCTTTTAACACTTAACTGGAACGTATTGTTTCTAGAATAGTCTCTTTTAAAACATGTTCTTAAATTTGATATTTCTACAGCAACATGAGGCAGAAGTTAAGCAGCTGACAGAAGCCTTGAGAGAAATAACTAAAGAAAATAGGAGGCTGAAGTCGTCATTTGACAGCTTGAAGGAAGTGAATGACTCTTTAAGAAAACAGGTTAAATTATTTCCTGTTTTAAATAATTCTACAAGTTACAGTCAACAGTTTTACATATTTGAGCAGCTTAAGTTTGCAAAATTGCCAGCCTTTTGTTTCTCTAAGACAAGAATTGTATGAAAGTACTTTTCTCACCTGTTTCTAGTACTTGAAATTTAGCCTTTCTGACCTTTTACACTGTAAAAAAGAAGTAGGATTTATTCCACTGACTCACTAGCAACAACTAATTGTTAGAAAGGGAAAATCCATTGAGAATGAATGGAGAGAAAGTATTTTATGACATAATGGAATCCACCCTGTGCAGATTTGCTGTTCCAAATTGCTGTGCTGATTCTGTTAAATGAAAAGTAGAATAACTTTTCTAACTTCATGTTTGATTTTATTTTTACTTATTTTTTGCAAATTTTAATTTAAGGCAGTATTTTCTCAGTTTGTAAACTAGAATGGTATGTTTCATAGTAATGCATAGAGTAGGAATTTGTCTGACTTGACTGTTAAGTCCAATCTAAAATGGCAATACACCAATTATCTAAATTATTTGAGCATTGTTTATTCATTGAACTAATTAATGTTTTGATAATCTGAATACAATAAAAATCTACAGCAGAGCCTCATTCTTTCCCTTAAGGAAGTCAGACCTAACTCCTAGGATGTTGATGGTTTTGATGCAACCCATTTGTCTTGTTATTTCCTCTCACTGTGAAATCTTTGCATTTCTTTGCAAACTGAGGGCTTCTGTGATGATCATGCTGTTTAATATTGTATGGATAGAGCATGTTTTTTTTAATTTAAATTGAGGTTACGGTTTTCCTGACCTTTTCTTACTGAGCAAACGGTTTTTTTAGCATGGTCAGTAACCACCTTCCCCATTAACAAGACGATGATACCATTCTTAAATTTGTGCATTTTTATGACACTTCTTCATGAAAAGTAATCAAATGTGAAGTGCCTGTATGTCTAGCGTGTCACTGTAGTGCTTATTCTTCCCTGCACTCTGAAAGGTTGGGCTGCAGGTCAACAAAGAGATACTTATCCTGGAACAGGTTGCTCACAGAGTTCATAAGAGTCTCAGACCTTGGAACTGCTCAAAAGGTGTCTGGACATAGCATCCAGTTCTTCTTCCTGGTCCAGCTTGAGCTGGGAGTTGGACCAGATGTCTTCCAGAGGTGCTCTCAGATGTTAAGCAGTCTACGATCCTGTAATTTGTTGAGGGAGGTGGATGATGATTTTGTTTTTATCGCTTTTCATGCTAATAAGAAAAAACTTGAACTTAAATAATTTAGCTGCTCAACAACATTAAGTTACTTCAGTGTGAAACTTAAGTCGAGATGTGAGTTTTGAATTCACAGATAGTTTAATATTTTCTGCTTCTTTCAGTTATGTGATGTAACTGAATTGAACAAGAAGTTGGAAGATCAAGCACGAAGAGTGCAAGCTCGTTTGGAGAATCTACAAGTAAGGTTTGTTCTTACATGTACCTGCTTTTATAGGTAACTAGTGAAATATAATTCATTGTTATATTTTGTTGTAGAGGAAGTATGAATTTTCAATGGTACGGAAATCTAATGTTTTATGTCAAGTGGTGAAAGGAAGCAAACCTGTGAAACAGGAAAAAGTGATGGCAACATCAAAAACTGCTACGGTAAGAATTAAGGAGAAGCCTTGAATCTTTTCATTCGAAAGGCATTAGGCAGTGTAACATTCTCTGTGCTTCTGCTAGAAATTGCAAAATGTAGCTTCTAATTTTATTTTACAAGTTACACTAAGAAGAGAAACATATTGGGGGAAAACCTACACTTAACAAAGAAATAAGTTTGTTGCTAAAAATGTCTTGGATTTCAGATTGCTTGTGTGTATGTATATGTGTAGATTTTTATTTATATGGCACGTTTTCCTCCTCGTATTATGTTATCTTTCATCTGCCAGTTAGAATTACAACTTGTGTCCACTGTCACAGGCTTCTTTTGCTGTGTCAGAACAACTCTTAGACTCATTCTTGTTACTGTTACAGTATAGCACTATCCTTATGAATAACACCAGGTAAAAAGTAGTCTTTTAGAAGTATCCAGTAAAGAACCTTAATCTTCTAAACCAAAAGTGGTATATTACTATTATTTTTTTGAGGAATAATCTTTAATGAAAGACAGAGATTAAATGCAGTGTTCATTCACAGTTCCAAAACAATCACCTTTTTTCCTTAAAAAATGTTCTTACATCACTTAATTAAATTCTTTCCATCTCCATGTAGTTCCATGTATGGTATTACTCTGCCAACATCTCCGAGCTGGTTATACTTTTTTTTTCCAGCTAGAGGTAAACTGTGAAATGAGAAAGATATTCACACCACCCTATCTAATTGATTTACAATGAATGCATTAAAACTGTCCTGTCTATATATAGCCAACAAATTCTCTTTATATAGGTTTTAGCATACTTTTATTCACATGAAATGCAAATAGTATCAGTAGTTACTCATCAGTAGTTCCGAGTAAAGAGGAAAAAGTTATCTGGAGGTAGATAGAAGAAAACTTTTGAGTTTTCTTCTAACAGTTCTTTAGGGAACTGTTCATGCAGCCTGTCTTCGGGTATCTCTGGATTTCTTTTGTAGAGTAGAGCCCAGATGAGATTTTTGTGAAGCCTTTGGTTTTTTTTAAACAATACTAGTTACCCAGTTAAATTTATCAACAGTGGATTGCATGAAATGAAACAAAGTAGGTCTAGTGTATAGAAATAAGAATTGCCCTATATGAAGGACATTAAAGACTTGTTTTCTCCTGTAATTCATTTGTCCAAAATTGTAAAGTGTAGTGATTCTGTTTGTGAATTTTTTTTCTAAGCTGTTTTACTCCCATTTGACCAAGTACAAAATAAATTATGGGTATATGTTTTTCACACCCAGAAACCATCACAATAGGTGTTTGTTTTGCACTGGGGAGTGAGTTCTGAGGGAGAGAGAAAAAAACGCTGCAGGATTCCTTCTGTGTCTTTGTAAGAAAGGCCTGACAACAAATGGCTTCATTAAATGGCTGTTTTAATAAGACAGAGTAAGAGGAGAAATATAGAGAGTGAGTAAGTCTTGTGTCCCTTCAGATGCTGGCAACACTGTGTGCAGCATCAAATGGAACCCTGGTGGACTTTTGCCAGGGAATTCTGAGCAGAGCCTATCTGTTGAGAGAAGCCCCTCCTTTTTGGCTACTCAACATATTATATAATTTTCTTGCAAGAAAACAATTCTTCCTGAAAGACGTTCTTGAGAGGAGAACTTGTTGCCCTTTTAGACAAGGCCAAGGCTAGGCAGGATCAGCAGTACTAAGAGGGAGCTGCCTGAGTTTATGCTGCAGCCAAGCAGGATAAACTGTGCAGTTGGTTGGTCTGTGCAGCACAGACTGCACCTGCTCAAGGTAACTGTGCTGTGGATCTCTGGCTCCTTGATGTACAGTGGTCTCCCAGTCAGGACTGCCCCCTTCCAACCTATGATCTGCATACAGTTTACCTTTCCCAGAGATATTGTAAGTTACAGTTACATTAATACTATACAGGCTACTCAAACCCTAGGTACAAGGCCCAGCAGAGCACACATGGCCTGTTCAAGATCACTATCTCCTTGAGTTTCTTTTCCACAGGCTCACACTACAGTAACTCACCTCTCTGATTTTACCAGGCAAGAAGTTCTCATCCTTTTCTATTACACATAATATTTCATAGCTAATGTACTGTCATGTATTTCAGTCTGTTACTGTTTTAGCTTGGAAAAACCATTAAATTGAAAGCTGAAATATATGATATTGTGAATATATTACAGCTACCATTGAATTCACAAGTCTATGAGCTCTTAGCCTATCTTATGGATTGGATCTCTGACCAGCATCTTTGCAAAATAAAAACACAAGAAGAGAGAGAGGACAGTCATAAATCTATGGTTGCCCAAAGCTCAAAGAACTCCTGTACTCAGGAAAAGTGCATGAAGGTAAAGGAGTTTGGGTTGTTTGCTTGTGTTAATATGTTTTCAGATTTTGGTGTGTTTTAAATGATTCTGAGAGTATAACAGGTCAGTATGTAGTTAAAGTAATTTAGTAAAAAAATATTCATTCTAGCATGAGATATAATAGGTAATTTGTCATTTGTAAAGCATACAGATAAGTTTTATTAAAAGTACGGTGTCCTGTCTCAACCCAAGAGTTTCAGCATTTTATTTCAAGTGACTTCTGTAAGGTGATAGCTTGCCCTGTGTTTTATGTGTGATATAATGTTTTAAGGAGACCAACAGGTCAAATTAAAAATATTTTTATGACTATTTTGATACCAAAATATTAATCTATCAATAAATTTATCAGTAACTGGTGATGCTGTGCTGTATTTCAACACCTCTGTTGTGTTTCTAGTGATACCAAGATTTAGAAATCGGTGAGGTGTCCAGCAAATTCACTTTCTTATATTCATTATATAGAAGATTTGTAGCCACTGTGATTGGATTTACTGAGATTGAGCTCACATGTATCTCCACTCCCACATATAAACCATGTAAAATTTAAAACCCATGTATAATTCTGTTAGCTGTAATGGATTTGCCTAGAGAATATTTGCATATATAATCTGATAAACTCCAAGAGAAAGTTGAGAGGTTTGTTTGTTTGTTTTTCATTTACACTTAGCTTATAGAATAGTTCATATACTGCATGTAATTCTATTTTTGTATATTTTTGCAGGTTTTGCCTATAGCTACTGAGCAACTCCAGTGGATGCCATATGTGAATCCTAAACTGCATGTGCCTGTGATTAAATTTATTTATTGGTCTGTAAGACAGTTAGACACTGATATGCAGGTAAAACAAGTAGTCCACATGCAGTATGTTTTTAAAAAAAAAATCACAGAAGATTTTGTATATTAAGTACATATGAAAAATTGATGGTTTTGGGTAGCATATAGAAAAGAAACTTGTCTTTGTAAAACATAAATACTTAGTATTCACCCTAGACAGATAGCAAATGAAAAACAAATTCTTTTTCAAGGTAAATTTAAATTTTGCATTCTGTATCTAAATGTGGTTTTCCTACGTATGTGATCTCTCTTGTGATGTCTAAGCACATCTGAAGCTATATTTCTGCTTATGCATTAACAAAACTTGTGCTGGAGAAGGCAGTTATTATATTGTGTGTTTTATGAATGAGATTTGTTGAAAGTGATGAAAGTGAGTGGCAAAGCACTGAAGAAATTTTGATTTTGCTGTCCTCTGATTGGTGTCTAACTTCAAGATATTCCTTGCTGGTTTTGACTAGACTGCCATAAGAAAATATTTAGCAATATAATAGAGAAAAAAACAGTAGTCTTACTGTGTAGACCTAGCATAGTGCTATCAATGTTCATTTACTAAATCAATCGCTAGAAACTTTATAAATATCCTGAGTTTAAATTCAATACAATAGTAAGATGTTGGGTTTAGTTCTACTAAGTAACTATATTTTAAACAAGCATATTGTAAATTTTGATTCTGTGAAAATATTTCTGTAGAGTTTATGATGAAAATCTAATAGATGTTACCTGTGCAGTGTTCTTAAGCTTCATACTTAGACCTTGATTCTGTAAATGCTTTTAAAGGGTATAACTTCAGGCAAGTTTACAAAATTGAGTTGAGTGAGACAGCTTTTTCTGGAACCAGAGGTAACTTAAATAATGTCAGAGTATCCAGGATGCTCACTAATTAGTCCCTGGCTGAAGTGTGTGTGTTAATAAGGCACCATGTTCAACTGCTTTTGGAACACAAAGCAGTATCTCCTATACTGATTATATTCCTATTCCTGGTAAAAGAACTTGCAATTTAGTATTTAATTGCATGGAGAACACATGTATGTCAAGTTTTCATGTTTGCACTAACTATATGCACTGTTTGAAGCAGCATGCAACAATGAGATCAACCATGAGGAGACTTGGTGAAGATATTTTCAAAGGCATAGTGAGTAAAGGAAACCCACACAGTTCTTCTGAACAGTCTACAGAAAGTAAATCAAAGTCAGCAGCTTTCTTTAAGAGTTTCTGCATGCCTCTGAGGTTTCTGTCAACTTTGATTGTGCTTAAAACAGTGAGACAAGGTAAGTCAAGATGGGTTTTTTTTACAGTAATTTATCTATTTCAGTCATGTGCCTGGACAAAAAGCATTTTAATGATACTGTATACTTTATTAGTGAGAAGTGATTTTACTTGGGTATTGTGAAGCAAAATAGACACGTATGAATCTGCTATTATTGATGTTATGTTAGTGTTTATGTGGTTTTTTTAATGTGATGACTTGTCAGACAAGTCAGCATTTCTGAATAGGGGGAGATGATAAAGGTTTCAAAGTAGACACTGCTAGATTACAAGAATCAAACTGTCTAGACAGTGTGAGAAAAGATGTGGAAAATACAACTCAAAAGAACAAGATAACTCTTCTCTAAGGTGATTTTTTAACTGCTACTTTCAGTTACGAAGAGTTAACATTTCTTCAAGAGAAACAGAGAACAAGGTGTTGCAGATCCTTTTTTATGGAAGTCAGGCAGAAAAGTAATTCTGTATCATTAAGAGCAAGTGTAAGATGCGATTGCTGCTTTCCTGAAGCAATTTAGCAATACTGTGTGTCTGCATAACCAGGATTTTCTGCAAGAATAAATTTCACAAGGGTAGCGTAAGAACAAAAATCTCTATAACCCTTTTCCAACTCTTTGTAGTACTAACCACTTATTTTTCCCTTTTCAAAGACATTTTAAAAGCATGGATTATTTTGATAGCAAGTAATTTTTAGTAGGGTTACAAATGAGCAATCCAACCTCAGAGGTGGTCCTGCTTTTGACAGGAAGGTTGGACTAGATTCCAACCTAAATTATTTCATGTTTCTATTTTTGCTACCATTTTTTCTCGGAATGGTTTGTATTTTTAAATATCTTTACGAGTAACATGTTTCTTTTGGTAATTACACGAAGAGATTGATACAGGTTACAAAGATGTTAATTTTCAAAGTACTCCTGAAATACCATGCCAAAATGTCAAAATCAGATGCCTACTTTGGTATCTGATTTTTTTTAGTCTCTTCCATGAAATATGTTAAATTTTGGGGCATTTCTTGGACAGCAGAGATCCATGTCACAAAATTGCTACGATCTGTGGTACCTTAATTGACACGAAACAGGAATGCCAAAGATTTTAAATATATAAATAATGAACAGAGCTTTTATTAATAGAAGTTGTACTTCTGGGTTAGATGTTTAAGGAGATTAGTATGTTTTTATGCTTAATGATCTATGCAGTATTTATATTGTGAGTATTTATAGTAAACACAGGATTAAAACATGGTGGAAGACCATTCTGACATCATTCATGAACTAACACAGAGTTCTGGCTGTTGGATGGAACTATTTAGGTCAACGTATTTTGATGAAGCATGATAATTAGTCTCAAATTGAGACTCACATTCTAGGAGTGTTTGATAAAAGCAATGCAAGAAGAATTGAAATAAACACTAGTCATTGCAGAGACTGATTTACTCTAGCAGATGAACACTCTTGATTAAAATGAATCCGTTTAGCTTCTCACGGTTGCTTTTTACTGCTGGCTTCTGTAACACAAAAAATATGATCTGTTGTTAAACATATGTCAGATATCACCGTGTATGAAATTTGATCACTCTGACCACATGGCACTAAGGATCTGGTGATAAAGTAGCAGATTTGGTTTGAACAGATGTCCTCGTTCCTTCAAAATGTCAGTATCCAGCAGATGGCACCATAGTTAAACTTATGCAGTAGGAGAAATTGTTTCCTTCTACTTAATTTTCTGTGCTTCAGATGATCAATGCAATTCCAAGATACTGAGGAAGATTTGACAGCAGGAAGTTAAGAAAATAGATTGGTTCGCTTAATCTACATCCTTTGTATAATTTCTGAATGGATGAGAATATAAAATGTTTATACTGAAACTACAGGTTTTTATAGAAGGAATGGAACTAGTTGCTCTCATGAAAATAATTGCTCTCACTCAGACAAATCAGCCACTGACTCCCTTAATAGAGGTTTCCCAGATGTTGAAACCAACATTGTCTCAAACTATGTGAGTTTGTATTTTCTTTCCTCTTTAACAAAATATTTGTAGGACTTCACATTTGTATGTATATTTTTCTTAAACATATGAATTTTAGATAGTCTTTTTCTCCATTCACAGTAAATTGTTAAGGAATACAAATAGGCAGAGGGTGTCTTTAAATAAAAAGTAAATTTAGTGTTTTCAGCTATTTAAGTTTTAAGTGTATATCTGCCGTGGTAGCTGTCAGTTGTTCACATGGCTTAATGAAACTATGATTATGGAAGTTTTATTGCCTGTATTCTGATATTTTCAGTGGATTACTTGGCTCAGGCATTTGAGTCCCTTCGCGTAGACTTGAAGACAGATGAAGGGAAGGCCTTATTTTTGGAATACCAATGTGTGCCTGTTATATTAAGTCACCTAAAAGTATCCAGTGCAAGTCTACTTTCCAGTGCTCTTGATGGATTACTTCAGATGACCATGGAATCTGGTAAATTTGGGTAACTACAAAAAAAAATCACGACGAAAACAGTTGAGGAAAGCATAAAACCAGTGTAAAAGCAATATAAAAATACTGTCTAGAAACTGTTTAAATAGTCTAATTTACTATTAGCAATTCTTTGTATCATGTACATTCAGTAAAGACATAAAATGTATTTCCGAATTCTCTTTTTCTGAGTCATCTTGTGCTTTCTTCTCCCTCTCATCCACTACGTTCTGTATTTCATCCTGGTTACTTTCTTATTTCTTGCTGTGAATTTTTGCAGCTATTTTTTGTTTGACTTTTCAATTTACTTCACTGTATTACCTTGCTGATATTTTTCTTTGAAGTCAGACTGTGCCAGGGAAGTTAAATCATGAAAACCTGCCAGAAGGTGGAGATAAATACTAGGTTCTATTTTAATTATTTTCCTAGTTTGAATAAACAGCTCATCCCCAATCATTTTTCAATTTCTAGTGTTTAGAAATAGTGTTTCTAGATGAGATGGTTATGTTTTGCTGAATTTTACTGTGCTTTGGGCGTAGAAAAGCATTAGTAATCTTATTTGTCACAACATTCTTCCAGTTGATACAGGTAAGGATAAATTGATAACCACTTGGATAAGCATGAAGGTAGTAGCACATTCCAATGCCATGTTGAATAAACCTTGTGAATGACTGGGGTTTTTTTAAAAGATAAAATCATTCACAGCCTCTAAGAACAGAAATGTACATTGTTTTGGAAGTATTTCGTTACTATGCATTGTACTAGTTAAATAGAAAGCATGTTTGACTTGAGATTATATTGCATTGATAAAAAGCACTTTTGTAGCAACCTAAGTACAAAAATATTTAACTAAAGTTCTAATCATCCTTGCAGTCTTTTTCTGACTAGGTAATTAATGCAGTCTTACACTCTTCTTCCTAATATTCATAACTGTGATTGGGAAAGAATTAATTGAATGCACAGAGGTAACAGTCTAAGCAAGACGGACAGTGTTTGGTATTTATTTGGGTAATGTTCATCTTCTGTTATCTAGCAGTAGTCATTCTGATACACTAGGTGCCTGCAGTTTGAATAATAATAAAGATATAGTGTGAGACTCAAATTTTGCTTTCTTACTTCTCAGAGAAATTCTGTCTATGTGAAATCAGGGAAGGAAGAGTACTGTTTAATTAAATTGACATTTGATTGAAAATTATTTCTTGGCAACTGGATATAAAGCTTTATTTAGAGCCTTACGCTTTCGTAGAATAAATTGCCAATACACAAATTAGGCATGTTCTGCTCTTTTCCAATACATAGTGTTTTGCAATAAGTTTTTAACAATGAGAAATAGTGTTGCTGATGGGAAATTGTGTTTTCATTCCTTTGTAAGTTTCCAATTAAAAAGTCATTAAAAGACAAACTTTAAAATGTGACAGTTACTATTCAGAAGAGAACTCTGTGTTAGAGTAAAATAGAAATTCATGCTCAGTTTTAAAGCTGTATTCATGTGCAGCCCTAAATAAGAAGACATAGGTAGTGGCTGTATACTAAAATATGGAGTCAAACTACCCAAAAAGGCAGCATCCAATCAACAGGAGACAAAGTCTAGACTTGTAATTTTTTATGTAATTCATTCACTCAATTTATTGCAGTAATTTTCTGGCTCTACAGGAGTGTTACAATACTCTTGCTCAAAAATAATTCCTTTAGAGATTAATCAGTTAGAAATTAAATTGTAAAAATGGCAAGTAGAATTTTTTACAGCATATAATTTTCTATAACTTTATTTTTCAAGGTGTTTTTTTTGAGAAGTTTTTACAGATTCAAGTCTCAGTTGTCCAGGCTGAAAAATGTGAATCAGATATGAAATAACTACTGTGTTGCAGTACTACTCCCTGTAACTGCATGTGCCCTTTTTAATAATAAGCAGTGAATGTTAATGTTTCTGTGCAGTCCAGGCTTATCTGAGGTCCTAAGGTAGGTTCTCTCCTCTGTAAGAAATTATTTTTCTCATGTTCCAGAAATGAAGCCTAGGTTTCCCTCAAATATTAAGGACAGTTACTTAAGCTGCATATGAAGAATCACAAAATCACAGAATGTGCTGTGTTGGAAGGGACCCATCAGGATTATCAAGTCCAATGCCTGGCCCTGTGCAGGACACCCCAAGAGTCACACCCTGTGCTTGAGAGCATTGTGCAAATGCTTCTTGAATTCAGAAAGGTTTGGTGCTGTGACCACTTCCCTGAGGAGCCTGTTCCACTGTTCAATCACCCTTTCCATGGATGTCCAACCTAAGCCTCCCCTGACTCAGCTTCATGCCATTTCCTCCATTGAGAGTGAGGAGATCGGTGTCTGCCCCTCCTCTTCCCTGTATGAGGATATTGATGACTGCAATGAGGTCTCCCCTCAGTCTTCTCCAGGCTGAATAGACCAAGTGACCTCAGCCCCTCCTCATAAGGCTTCCTCCTCAGACCCTTCACTGTCCTCGTGGCCTTGCTTTGAACACTCTGTCATACCTTGATACCTTTTTTATATTGTGGCACCCAGAACTGCCCCCAGCACTGGAGGTGAGGCTGCCCCTGCTCAGAGCAGAGCAGGACAATCCCCTCCCTTGCCCGGCTGTGATGTTGGGCCTGATGCCCCCCAGAACAGGGTTGGCTCCCCTGGCTGCCAGGGCACTGCTGACTCATGTTCAATTTTCTGCTGCCCAGGACCTCCAGGTCCCTTTCCTCAGTGCTGCTCTCCAGCCTCTCATTCCCCAGTCTGTACATCCAGAGTTGCCCCATCTTAAGTGCAGAATCTGACACTTGACAGTGTTAAACTTCATATGGCTGGTGATTGCTCAGCTCTCTAATGTGTTGAGGTCTCTCTGAAGGTTCCTATTAGTCTAAGACAGATACTTCTCTTGATGGAAACTAGAATGAGAGTCTGCAGTACTGCTTAAGCAGATTTGAGACTGGTTTGCTTGTTTTTAGATTTTGGATCAGTATCATTGCTTTTGGCTTCATAGCATGTCTGGTACAGTGGGTTCAGAATCCAGGTTTCCATTGCAAATTCACACAATATTGACAGTAGCATTTCACTTACTGAAAACATGTCAAATGCAACAGCTGAGGCATTAGTATCACCTTTTTTCTATCTATGTACAAGACTTTAATGGCAAATTTAAATTAATAAGTCTCACTGCTGTGGGTCTTCCTGGCAGACAGCCTTTCATGCTGTCCATCTCTCTTCAGGAGTTTAGCATCAACAACCTGTGAGAGTCCTGACACCAACATTTTGATGGGAAATGATAGAGGTGACATTTCTCAGTACTTTTCTTCTCTGTCTACATCTCCTCTATACAAGGGTAGACAACATTCGTATACCTGTCCAGCTAGGCCACTTGTGGAATTCTGTGAAGAAACGTTTAAGACTTTTGGTACCACTAGGAAACTAATTTGTATGTGTTTCTTGAAACTTAGTTGCACCAAGTTTAGCTGCCCTGCTGTTTCCCAGACATCTCCGAGTTTCCATGCCATTGTATAATTGTGAAAAAAATAATTTTTTGGCTCAATATAGTGAGATGGCCCTGGCTGAACACCAGGTGCCCACCAAACCACTCTGACATTCTCCTCTTCAGCATAACAGGGGAAAGAAAATAAGATTGAAGAAATAGAATGTGGACCAAGATAAAGGCAGTTTATTAAAGCAAAAGCAAAGTCCACACATGGAACCAAAAGATCCCATCAGTAGGTAGTGTCTGACCACTTCCTGGGAAGTGGGGCTTCAGCATGCATAGAGTTTGCTCCAGAAGGCATGTCATAAATAAGGAGTGCCCCCTTCCCAGCTCACACTCCCTCCTCCCTCCTCTTTTCTCTTTGCTTATATTGCTGAGCAAATACCATATGGTATGGGAGTCACTTTGGGTTAGCTGTTCTGCCTGTGTCTCTTCCCAGGATCCTGCCCAACCCCAGCCTGCTGGGGAGGGGGAATTTTAGAGAGACAGTGTTGACACTGTGCTGGCACTGCTTAGCAGTAGCCAAAGACTGATGTGTTACCAGCACCTTTCTAGCTACCAATATAAAGCACAGCACTTTGATGGCTGCTATGAAGAAAACTGATTCTGTTAACTCAGCCAGACCCGGTATCTGGTATGCGTAATAATTAACATATTTGGAATTGTAACAGTGTGTCCAATATACAGAACATATGTATGTGTGTGATTTTTATATATATATATATATATATATATATATGCCAATCTTGTTTGCCTCACCTCTTTTACAAAAATCTTACGGCCTAAGGAGGAGGTAAAATGTTCTACTGATCATTGTTCATATGCAAACTCATTCATAGTTGGACCACAGGTTGACTTTTAAATGTCAGGGGTGAAAAAAGTTGAGGTTACTATGCTCCTCAGGGCATAAGAGTGAGAGGAACTACTAAAGATGTTAAGCAGTAATTTCAGACAGTTTACTTTGTGTCAAAAGAACTTCAGTTTCAGTTTACTTTTATGCTCTCGTAGTGCTGAGGCTTTTTCCATATCCCAATACTTTTGTGGATTCCGTTCATTACTTTTACTGTTAATAGATTTGAGTAACCAGATTTTGTAACTGTGTGGGTCCTTATCTATTCATTTGCATTCTGTTAGCAAATTGCTTAGTTTAACATATGCTAGAAACTTAATAAGTAACTGAAACAAAATTGTAGGTAGTTCTCAGGATAAACTATATAATTCTAAATAATTTATGTTGTATTTCATGTTGTTTATATGGTGGAGAATTTTTTTCAGATGAGTTCAGTGGCCTAAGTTGCAGTCCAGTTGGTTTAGTCAGCTCTCATCAGGGGAAATAATAGGTTACTTTAAATTCCACAATTTTGAGAGTTAACAGCTTGTTGTGAACCTGACAGTAGAAAATCAACTCCACAAATATATTTTATCTCATTTATCTTATTACATTCTACTAATATTTTTGCTTAAAAGTGTGCATAATAGTGTATACATCAGTATAGCTATATTTTTACTGTAGCTATCTCAT